TGGGGGCAAAATGACAGCATTGTACATTTTTTGAAGACAAGATTGGGGCAAAATGTTTTTAACATAATTCATTATACCAACACCTTTGGCAACATAGGTAATAACTTTTTTAATATGAGTCCAATTAATGTTTTCATCAATTATTGTCCCTAGAAATTTGGTGTCTTTCACTTGCTTTTAATATTATAGCTCCATTTATATAAATATGTAGATCCACTGGGCTGTGTTTTTTTTTATTTGAAAACAATATAAAATTTGTCTTTTTAACATTGATAGATAGTTTATCTGCAGATAACTAGTTTGCTATATCAATTAATTCAAGGTTGATTTGTGTTATTGCATAGTTTAAATCTCTGTTACTATAAAATAGGTTTGTATCATTTGCAAACATAATAGGAGATAACAATGATTTATATCATTCATGTATAATATGAAAAGTAGGGGTCCAAGTATGGAGCCCTGTGGCACCCCACATTTGATTTTCCGATAAGATGATTATACATTATTGTATTTAACAGCCTGATGACGATTATTAAGATAACTTTCAAACCATTTATATGGGATACCTCTGATTCCATAATTTATTTAAAAGTATGCTATGATCCATTGTGTTGAAAGCTTTTGATAGGTCTTAATATAACCCTATAGGGTATTCTCCTTTTTCAGTTGCAATATTCATTTTATCAATTAATTGTATTGATGCCATAAAAGTTGATTGTTTTTTTTCTAAATCCATATTGGTTTGTTGCTATTATGCCATATTTTGTCAAAAATTCATTTAGTCTGCTGTAGATAATTTTCTAAAGTAGTTTTTATATGGCAGGCAATACAGATATTGGGCGATAATTACTAAAATGTGATGGTTCAATGGATTTGTAAACTGGAGTAACACAAGCTGTAAACAATTTATCAGCAACAATTCCTTTTGTTAGTGATAAATTAAATATAAGTGTTACCGGTAGTGGTTCACTTAGGTCTGGTAGTAATTCTCTCAAAATCCCGGGTTTAATGTCATCGTACCTAGCACTTTTCCCATTTTTCAAGATACTAAAGTAGTACGTAAATTTATAATCTTTGTGCAGCCACTGGCCGAAAGAAAATAAACTTGTCCATTCTATTACCTAAATATTTGTGAAAGGATGTCCTTGTGACTACAATATTATTTCTGAAGATTTGGCCCTATGTTTGTGAAATATTCATTAAATTTATCAACTATTTCATTTTTGTTGTAATTTTTGTTGTTGTCTGCCCTACTACTTTTATTTCTACCTAATAATGTGTTAATTATTTTTGATTGAATTTATTTTTGTAATATAATGAATTTTTCTAGCCAGTTTTAATAAATGTGTGAGTCGGTTCTTATATGTTATATACTTCTCTTTATTTATTTCAGTTGGGTTTTCTTTTTATTTTTATAGAGTTTGTGTTTTCTTTTACATGAATGAACATCCAATAGTTTTATTTGTTTATTTTTATTTTCTTCATTGGTATGCATACATCATATAATTTTGTTAATTTACTAATAAATTGGTTATATGATTCATTGGGATCACATGATTCCAATATTTCACTCCAGCTTTCTTTATCTTTGCATATTTTTAATTTCTGTATACTTCTGTATTTTGCATCACGAGAATATTTATGTACACACGTATGCTTGATATTGTCATTGATGGAGTCTGTTAATTGGAACACAGGATAATGGTCAGATATGTCAGAAAATAAGATCCCTGATGTAATATTGTTGTCAACAACATTCGTGAAAATGTTGTTAATAATTGTGGCTGCATTTGATGTTATTCGAGTTGGCTCGGTAACTAAGAGTACATTACATTCAATAAATTTTGTGATATAACATTTGTTTCAATTTTTAACAGGTCGATATTGAAATCGACAAGAATGTAGCAAGTTTTATTTTCTTTGCTTAAGTTTTTTAGGTATTTTGTCTAACTGCTTTACAAAATTGTCTGTGTTATTATTTGGTGGTCTAGAAACGAGACCTAATATGACATTTTTGTTTTTAATTTGTGGAATTTCAATGAATAATGATTCTATACTGTATGAAAAATAGATATCATCTCTCCCTTTGTACTGCAAATTTTCTTTCAGGTAAATAGCAACACCACCGCCCTTTTTTATTTTCTCTGTTTATTATTAAATAATTGTATTCTGGGAATTAGGGGGGGGTCAGTTTCACTGAATCCGATAACAGTGAATTTATGTTTTAAAGATGCCAGATAGTCCTGTATATTATTTGCATTCTTATTCAGACTTCTTGAGTTTAAGTGAAATATGGAAAAAGTGTTTTCGTTTAGATTATCACACAACTTATTGAAATCATCTTCTAATAAATAGTTTTTTGAAATTATTGTTACAACCAATATTATCATTATTGTTTATATTGGTAATTAATGGATTGTATTTTAAAGAGTTTAAATGATCTACATTGATATTTAGATCAGTTTTAAATGTTAGTATGTTTAGAAGAAATTCATCATTATCATTAACGTGGTTAAATGGAAATCATTCCTAAATACATACTTTGCAGTACCAGTGACTATTATCTTCAGATAATTAGGATAATCAGTATCATTTATATCGGCACATTTATGGTGAATCCATTTGTGGCATATGTCACAAAATAAACCCTTTTGGCCCGGCCTCACCTGCTTACTACAATTAGAACAAGGATATTTCATTAAACTAAAATTAAACAGACGTTAGGATAAAATTAAACAAATGAATAAACAAACAAACAAACAAACAAACAAACAAACAAACAAAATGAATAAAATAAATAAATTATAGCTGTATTTCAAGTAACTTAAACGAACAAATTTTAATTTGTTCCGGGCAATCGTATTTTAATGTACGTATTTAGGCTCAGTATTAAATTTCATTTATTTGCACCTATACTAACACCAGGGCAGTTTATAATTTGTAGCACAGATACGTATTCTTGAATCTGTGCGCTTTATGTAACATATATGTTTTAAAGTTCGAGTGCACGAGAATTTCAGATGTGAAAATGCGTGACCGCTGAATATATACTTTGTACATTGTGGTCTCATGTGCCCTTGTTTACAGTACGGGCACCTGGTCGCATAGATCACGGGTGTTGTATGGATTGAAATCATTTACAGCTTTGTAGTTTAACGGTAACATTTTGTAACCAATGATTGTGATTACTGATCCGATAAACCGGATATAGCAGTTTATTGAGGTACATAAACAGGTATACAACACAGGTATAAAACAGAAGTTTAAAACATGAGAACAAATAACGGTTTAGCTGGTGTAATTGGTGCAACTGACTTGTATAGGTTTGTTAAATTGAAGATGATGAATAGCTAAACTGGGTTCGAATGAGGAAAACCTATAATTTAAAATAACTCAGCTGATAGGTGTGTTGTGTCATCTATAGCTTTATATCACTACATTGGTTATTACGCACGGTTGTCATGGATAACGTTTCGATAATTAACAAGATGACCGTGGATAGATGTAATAGTAGGATACCAAATTCTGAGATAAAATGAAAATTTCACATGCTGCAAAGTATAGCCACCCACAAATCATTTTGTGATCTTGACAAAAGATGTATTTCGATCTGGGCTTGTTGGAGATCAGGATTGTATTGATACGCAGAAGTTAGTACTTGATCCGAAAAAAAATTAGATAAAATGAATATTCAATCTTGCTCAAACATGTCTGCATACGGCGTAGCCAGTATACAGTGTAATTTTTACATCATATATTCATGGCAGAGTGCACGTTATTGTCATAAAAAGTGAAAAACTTTCTGACACTTTGGCAATTTAAAGCAGGTCATATCGTGAATTTGGGGTTCCGTACTCTATTGACCTTACTTTCAAGATATTCCATCTTCAGTTGAACAACGTAATGTGAAAATGTATGTAGACGTCACAATGTGTGTAGACGACACAATTGACTTTTTTCACCAATCAATGTAGACACTGTTGTCTCTACACCTAATTTAGATGGATTAACTGCTTGTTTGGGTATTAAAACAATATTATGCAGTATTGAATTTTTTTTATATTATTTATCTCATTCGATACTAGTTACACTGTCTTTAACATTAGCTAATTTCGCTGAATTAAGATGTCGCTAATTAGAATAGAGTATATTCTCACATTAAGATTATTGGCACTTTAGTTAAATTAAGATTCAGTTAATTCATGCATTGAGTCAAATTCGCCAAAATGATATGTAGCTATTTCAAAATATATATAGAAATATTTACCGAGCGTTTCATTCAAATCCAATTGAGACAACTGGATTGGCTATAATAATCCGTGCAGTGTTCAACGTTGTGCCACATACCAATCAGATTCTGGTCGATACGTCTACGCACACGCTCTGATTACGTAGTTCTTTTCAGCAGCGTCTATTCATCCGCGGTGTTTGTTTTCAAATTTATGTTCGACAATTATAATTGTGCTACCAGACAACGCCGAATTATACGCTAATACTCTGATGTGCGTCTTGGGTAATGTATTACTGATGGGAATAAATAACTCTCTGGGTAAGGCAACTATAATTCAGAATATGATAAAATGGTAAATGTGACACGAGGGATACGATTTCATTCTTTGTCTAAAAACTGTACGTGAATTTTTATAACATCATTCAGATGAAATTGTGTATTATTTTGGATGTATAACACACGCATGTTCGAGACCCCTGGATAAATGAAGTGATTACACTTGTGATGCTTTACGCAAATGGGAATGTTATTGATTTGCAATCAACATAGCACGATTAGCGTTGGTAAAATTGGAATCCCAACGTCCATGTTGAGTACACGACTGTCCCCTGTCGCAATTAATAGTTGTATGACTAATCCCGGCGTGTAGGTGTCTTTATTGGATATTATTTTTAGCTCGCGTACAAAGGGAATGTGCAATAATGTGCAATGGAAGTATATACGGGCAAGTTCGAAGCGATGAGGGCACATGGCACATATATAGTACGCATTTATATTTATATGTTTAATCACATAGCATCAATTGACATGAGTGACAATGGATACAATGCACAAAAAACGAAAAGTTACATGAAAAGGCCAAAAAAATCCCAGCGAGTGTATTTAATCATAGACAGTAAGTATATTGACGAACGTAACATCTATACAGCATTCTGTTCTATAGTTAGAGTCGCATTTCGTAACATGTATATTTCGTCTTAGTGATAGTCACTTATTTGAGCATGTTTTTAATTAATGCACGATATGCAATTCAGGTATATTCATTCATTCATTCATTCCCGATCACATTTTGATTGGTCTATAACTTTGACTGTATGGCAGCGGCGTCCACAATCGGTCCTACAATCGCAATGGCTTCTATTTCAACACGGGCGTTCTGAAAAAAAAAAAAAATACGTGTATTTCAGTACGTACTGAACAACACTCTTTGATAAACTTCTCTCTATAACGATTGACTTGGTACACGACACGATCGACCCCCCCCCCCACTCTTCACTAGTATTTCATTGTATAAATAAACAACGACCTAGATATAGTAGCAACACCTACCATTGGTAATACGGAAACTTGAAAAGCAGAACGAGCAGGGAAATCACTGGGAAAATCTAGAGAGATAAAACATTACAAATACTGTAGTGATGTATCGCAATGAAATGTCGTATAATATAAAAAAATCATATTCTGATCTGAGCATGCGCATGCAAAGTAGGTAATGTTTAACAAACTAATTCCAACTCACATTTCCTGTACACTTCATTGACCTGTGCAAATTCCTTGATGTCAGCCATAAACACAGTGGTTTTAACGACTAAATAAGATAAAATAAAGTATACACATACATAACACGAATGTGAATCCAAATAAAGATACTTAAGTGGATAGCACTGATTTATAGACAAATTTTAAAAAATATAGTAGTAAATCAGAGCCTGTGTTATCATTCAAGGCAGGTAACATATCAGTGACACATTTAGCGTAATTAACTTATTATAATTTTCCTCTCCATGTAATATATATTAGGAACTTACAGTTTATTTATTTTATTTTTTCATTTTTGAGAACAGTCACAGTCTTTGGGGTTCTTAGCAACATGAATGTTATATGTTAATGTGTCGTGGTGTGCATTGATTTCATACTAGCCCCATGCGTAACAATGTATTCAAGTTATCCATGATACTGTAGGGCAAACGAAATATTATACTTAACTGTTACATATCACTGGTAATTTTAAACAAAGATACTATTAATTAAAGGTATATTTAGCGGGAAGACCTAAAGATTTAATTGTTTACTTTTTGGTTTTAACTTTGCAATACAGTGACGAATTTTAAATTATTATTTTAAATAAAAAAAACGGTGAAAAATCATATTTTCATATATGAAATGAGTTTATTATATACAGAAGAATTTCAGGAATACATTGCTATAGTAATTAAACATAACACACAAAGCAGATTTAGTCATATCAAGTAAAATACATTTTAGAAACCGTAGTATGATAAAACTATTTTGTTTTGAATCGTATCAGATACAATTCAGTCTGTCATTAACAATATAAATGTTACAACTCTTAAGTATTTAGTAATTAAAGACGTGAATAATGAACTTAGAAATCATTCTTACCATTGGAATAATCACAGCCATGTCTTTTCAATATATCTCTCATATTCCTCAAAACCTAGCAAAAAAATATAATATTGAAACTGTTCGTTATGTATAGTTTGTTTTATTGTGATGAATTTGTTCACGCATAACTGTTAATCGACTTAATTAGCTGATTACTAGTGAATGGCTATGTTATGTCTGTCATCGTTTCGGCCCATTTGAGGTTCTGGACGAAACTTGGTTCAGTGATTTGGAACTAATTACGAGATAACCGTCGCTATTCGAACTACTATTTCTGACAGTTTAGTATTTGTGGTTATTAATGTAGTGAACGATTAATCAAAAGATATGACGTATTCAGTACTTAGTGTGATTGGCTGTATGATTGAAGGTTACGCCCTAGAGTCTTTTTACTGCTTTGTAATTGGTTAAGATTTTGAAAATGAATAAAGTTGTTTTAGTTGGTTTTGGCGAGTACATCAGGACAGATGCAGTCCTGCAGAGTCTTGGAGAATCTAAGGCAGTCTAAGGGCAGTCTTGGGCGAGTCTTGGGTCAGCCTTGCGATAGTCATGGGGACTTTTCCCCAGGGCGCTGTGTCTTATAGAGTGCTCGACTGATCGAATAAGACGAGAGTTGAAACGTATTTCGTTGTGTGTGTCTTATTTGACTGTAAGGTTTAAGTGACTTTCTCGATCCCGCATCTCAAGGGGACGCGATATAGAGAGATGAGACGAGATTTACCCCCGACACGTGTGGAGAACCCAGAGAGAAGAATTTCCCCCTGATATTATCATTATGCGAAATATTTCCAAATATTAAAGTAACTATTGCATGCACGTTGACATAGCAACTTGATAAGAATTTCAAACTATCCGCTTTCATAGAAATAACTGTGACATGTACCTATGGTTTTTCAATTTAACGAAACTAGTATTTTTCAGAATGAACCAAATATATGTAAATTGTATTCCTGGTCAATATAAGGGCAGTGAATATAAAAGTGTTTGTGGCCAAAGGTCGATTTTTGAGAAAATAATGGTTGTATTTTAGTGAATGACGGTTATTTCGTCAGTATTAGTTCCTATGGTGGAGATATTATCTGAAAGTGTAGTTATATTTGGACAAATGTTGCAATATATTAATGTAACATACATTACAATGTAGTTTTATGTTACCATAGAAATAAAGCTTCATGTTTGTACATAATAAACCAATGAATGTTGTCATGCGATTTATGAAAATTTTCTTTTTAGTCCCCGTTCGGACGCAGTCCGAAAACGGGGACTTATGTTTTGCCCTGTGTGCGTCCGTCCGTCCGTGCGTCCGTGATCGCCTTCATCTCGAACATGCATGGACCGATTAAGTTCAAACTTCACTCATACATCACACATTATATGGACATATGCACATGCATTTTTTTCATGATCTGATTAACGATAGCCGAATAGCGGCCATTTTAAGGCCGAAAATGCATTGAAATCGCACATTTTCACCATTCCGGACCCGTATCTCAGTTATGCATGGATGGATTTTGTTCAAATTTGGTACATA